CATAGGGTCAGGTTTAGCAGTCGCTAAGTGAACAACCCCTATTCACTTGTCACTATGTTTAGCTAGATGCATAGCGGTATGATAGAGAATTACAGCAACACTTATTCACTTGTCACTATGTTTAGCTAGATGCGTAGCGGTATGATAGAGAATTACAGTTAATAACACCTCTATTCAGGATTTAGATTGGAGCTATTGTGAAGGGAAGGGAATTGAACACTCTACATTCAACTCAGCCATCAGGTCCAGAATAGGAGGAAGCGTCAGAGAGTAGGATCAATTCCTCCCTGTCCATGTCTAATCTTATTAATCTAATTAAGCGTAATCTTATTCTTTACAATCTAAAAGGCAAAACCGATCCTAGATCAGGCTTTATGAACACGGGCCCAGAATCAGGAACGTGTCATGTTAATGTTCAAGGGTGAGCTGGACAAACGATATTCCCGAAGGTCCCTGCCGATGGGAAGTTTTCATGTGGAAAACGGTCCCTGCTGATGGGAAGTTTTCATGTGGAAAACGGTCCCTGCTGATGGGAAGTTTTCATGTGGAAAACGGTCAGAGAATAAGTAGGGGTTAACGGAAGCATGGGAATGGTCCTGGATTAAGGAACATTCCTGACCAATGAGAGAGAGGGAAATGTGAGAAATACAAAGTGGAGGGAGAGAGAGGGCAGGAAACGTATGTCCTCTCATTGATGCCATGAATGAATATGTGTGGTGACCTTGGAGACAAAAGGACAACATGACTGTATACAGGCCTAAAGGTCAGGAATAGGGTTGACAATATTATTTTTGGGGGGGCTACCGGAATTTTACAAACTCTAAAACAAATGTTTACACTAACACTGTGTTGCTCTGTGAAGTTCCTATGTTCCCAATGGAACGCTCTGTCACAAGAGGCAATTCACTGGTACATTGGAGAAAATAAAGGAACTGACAGCAACCACTCACATAGGCTTAATTAATGAATGGTGTGTCTATGAATTCATCCGACTGTATTTTAACCTATACAAGTACAGATAAATTAGATCCAGATACAGTGGGGAAAAAAAGTATTTAGTCAGCCACCAATTGTGCAAGTTCTCCCACTTAAAAAGATGAGAGAGGCCTGTAATTTTCATCATAGGTACACGTCAACTATGACAGACAAATTGAGAAAGAAAAATCCAGAAAATCACATTGTAGGATTTTTAATGAATTTATTTGCAAATTATGGTGGAAAATAAGTATTTGGTCACCTACAAACAAGCAAGATTTCTGGCTCTCACAGACCTGTAACTTCTTCTTTAAGAGGCTCCTCTGTCCTCCACTCGTTACCTGTATTAATGGCACCTGTTTGAACTTGTTATCAGTATAAAAGACACCTGTCCACAACCTCAAACAGTCACACTCCAAACTCCACTATGGCCAAGACCAAAGAGCTGTCAAAGGACACCAGAAACAAAATTGTAGACCTGCACCAGGCTGGGAAGACTGAATCTGCAATCGGTAAGCAGCTTGGTTTGAAGAAATCAACTGTGGGAGCAATTGTTAGGAAATGGAAGACATACAAGACCACTGATAATCTCCCTCGATCTGGGGCTCCACGCAAGATCTCACCCCGTGGGGTCAAAATGATCACAAGAACGGTGAGCAAAAATCCCAGAACCACACGGGGGGACCTAGTGAATGACCTGCAGAGAGCTGGGACCAAAGTAACAAAGCCTACTATCAGTAACACACTACGCCGCCAGGGACTCAAATCCTGCAGTGCCAGACGTGTCCCCCTGCTTAAGCCAGTACATGTCCAGGCCCGTCTGAAGTTTGCTAGAGTGCATTTGGATGATCCAGAAGAGGATTGGGAGAATGTCATATGGTCAGATGAAACCAAAATATAACTTTTTGGTAAAAACTAAACTCGTCGTGTTTGGAGGACAAAGAATGCTGAGTTGCATCCAAAGAACACCATACCTACTGTGAAACATGGGGGTGGAAACATCATGCTTTGGGGCTGTTTTTCTGCAAAGGGACCAGGACGACTGATCCGTGTAAAGGAAAGAATGAATGGGGCCATGTATCGTGAGATTTTGAGTGAAAACCTCCTTCCATCAGCAAGGGCATTGAAGATGAAACGTGGCTGGGTCTTTCAGCATGACAATGATCCCAAACACACCGCCCGGGCAACGAAGGAGTGGCTTCGTAAGAAGCATTTCACGGTCCTGGAGTGGCCTAGCCAGTCTCCAGATCTCAACCCCATAGAAAATCTTTGGAGGGAGTTGAAAGTCCGTGTTGCCCAGTGACAGCCCCAAAACATCACTGCTCTAGAGGAGATCTGCATGGAGGAATGGGCCAAAATACCAGCAACAGTGTGTGAAAACCTTGTGAAGACTTACAGAAAATGTTTGACCTGTGTCATTGCCAACAAAGGGTATATAACAAAGTATTGAGAAACTTTTGTTATTGACCAAATACTTATTTTCCACCATAATTAGCTAATCAATTCATTAAAAATCCTACAATGTGATTTTCTGGATTTTCTTTTCTCATTTTGTCTGTCATAGTTGACGTGTACCTATGATGAAAATTACAGGCCTCTCTCATCTTTTTAAGTGGGAGAACTTGCACAATTGGTGGCTGACTAAATACTTTTTTCCCCACTGTACAACAATGCTAATTTTCTTGAAGCAAATAACAAGTAAAAACATTCAGGCAAAAGGTGCTTCAGTAGAGTCCTAATAATGCGTCCCAAATCATACCCTATTCCCTATTTAGTGCACTACTTTTGTCCAAGGCCCATAGAGATCAAGCTAAGTGGTCAAAAGTAGTGCACTGTGTAGGCAGTACGGTGCAACTCTGGTGCGAATTAGACATCCTCCATTCAGCTGTCTGGATGCTGTGGAGAGCAGTGGTGTACAGTAGCTCTCCTCCCTCCCTCCCTCCCTCCCTCCCTCCCTCCCTCCCTCCCTCCCTCCCTCCCTCCCTCCCTCCCTCCCTCCCTCCCTCCCTCCCTCCCTCCATCCATCCCTTTCTCTTTCTAGTGAACTTGGCATGACCCCACCACCAGAACGGAGCATGGATCTCAGCTGCGCCGTTAGATAATCGCTGGCCCAAAGTTACTGTTGTAATAAAAATCACAATTTCACCCTAACCACGGGGAATGACTAGGCCTACTCATAGCTGTCAGATGTACTGGGAATATTCCTTAGAACATGGAGGAGGAGTATTCTGACTGTGCTGCCGTGGCAATAGGTTATCTCCGCTAAACTTGGGAGAGAAATTGTATTTTTTTTTTTTAATCTGAGTCCAGATAAGTAGTTAGGGGCAACTTCAGCCTCGACCTGAAAGGTGGGGTTGAGGAAGGGTTGCACTGCTTAGGAAGGGAAACAAGGATAGGAAGCATCCCAAAATGTCCCCCCCATAGGGCTCTGGTGAAAAATAGTGCACTATATAGGGAAGAAGGTGCCATTTGGGACGCAAACCAATGCTGCATCCCCATCCCCTGAGAAAGTGGAGGGTCCCCCACACCCTAACCTCCACCCCCTGCCACGCCCCTGTCATGCCAGCGCTCCAGATGTCATGGGAAACGCTGACAGCTGTGACCGAAGCATGTGGGCAGCGTGTGAAAGGACACTACATCTGCAGAAACCCTATCCCTCTGTGAAAACGCACACAGGATTAGCCACTTTTGATAAGGTCTTCGGACATTTCAATTCACCAAAAGGGAACAGGATGTGTGAGAGAGGCACACTCGACCCAGTGGATCGTGCTGTAGACTGCCATGTAGCTAGCATGAGGAGGAGAGGATGACAAAACTTTTTCTGTGAATGAAGTAGTCTGCTGTAAAAATAAAATGACTGTTTACAAGACAATGCGATAGCTGATTTAATAATAATAATGTGCCATTTAGCAGACGCTTTTATCCAAAGCGACTTACAGTCATGCGTGCATACATTTTCGTGTATGGGTGGTCCCGGGGATCGAACCCACTACCTTTTTATTTATATATTTTTTTTATTTCACCTTTATTTAACCAGGTAAGCCAGTTGAGAACAAGTTCTCATTTACAACTGCGACCTGGCCAAGATAAAGCAAAGCAGTGCGATAAAAACAACAACACAGAGTCACATATGGGGTAAACCTTGGCGTTACAAGCGCCGTGCTCTACCAGCTGAGCTACAGAGGACCACATGATTTACATGGGTGAATGAAGTAGTCTGCTGTAAAATAAGAGACAATAAGATAGCTGATTTACATGGGTGCGTCGCCTGGTCAAAAGTATTTCACTATATAGGGAATAGGGTGCCTTTTGGGACACTAAAATGGTACAGTAGGTTTTCGCTTTGCCCCTGACCCAGTAGATAAAAATCAACCTCTAATGTAACCTTATCATTACACTACAGTGCAGTAGGTTACAGTGTGTCCTTAGATCAGGGGTTTCCCAAACTCGGTCCTGGTCATACATTGTTTATCGATGACTAATAAGTATCAAAGAAGTAACTAGTCATCCCCACAGTATGCTGGATGAGAGGTCCCTCTGGTTTGGCGAGAGAGCGAGAGAGGGGGGGGGGGGGCTTTTCCTGAAAACACTGTCGCCCTGCTAATTCCAGGACACTTAAATTAGCCGGGTGAGAGAGCGGGTAGGTTTCAGTTTTACAGAGACTTGCTGTAGAGAAGGCAAGAGAATACACACTTAGTTCTGAACTAAACTTTAGATCTACTGGCATGGAACAATGGCTATATTCCTAAACTAGGAATGACATACTGAAATCTGAGTATGAGATGGATCAACTATAGGGACTTTTTTAAAATATATTTTATTTTATTTTTAAATTTTGGTTGAAGAAGCAGCCTTCACACTCCTGGAGCAGAAGAAGTGGAACATCTATTTCTAAACCACCTATACACAGACACAGCATCAAAGCAGAGAGTCTATTGTTGAGGTAGTTCAATCAGTTATAGCTCACCTGTACCTCTCCAGTGACTCCTCTGTCCTGCTACAGGGCACAGGTGAAACTGACAGACATGTCCACCGGCTCAGTAAGCGATGGAGAGGACATTGAGACGCGTCACAAACGGACAGATGCACCGTTCGACAGCGGCAAAACCAAACGGAACATTGCACAGAGCCACTACACTTCCGCCGAGTACTCAGACAACGAGTTCGGTAACGATGGCAGTTATGAAGTCAAGACCAAGCGAGCGCGCGTCACTGCTGCCGGAGGAAAACAGCTTGTGAAGGGGCGGCAGACGCAAAGGAATGCTGCAAACGCCAGAGAGAGGGCGAGGATGAGGGTGCTGAGCAAAGCGTTTACCAGACTGAAAACGAGCCTGCCGTGGGTACCGGCTGATACCAAGCTGTCCAAACTGGACACGCTGCGTCTAGCATCCAGCTACATTTCACACCTCCGACAGCTATTACAAGACAACGTCTTCGAGAGCAGCTTCGTACACCCTGTCAACCTGGTATGAAGCATTATATTATTAAACTTGACCCTGTAAACTTGACCCTGTAAACTTCGGTATGAAAGACACACATTTACATTTTTACATTCACATTTTGGTCATTTAGCAGACGCTCTAATTCAATTGTGTGTAGAAAAATGTGCAGTGTAAAGTGTGTAGAAAAATGCAACAAACAAATGATGTAGCTATGCATGTTTTTCAATTTTTGCAAGTTGCATCCATTGCCTTTTGATTATGCTGTGAAACGGTGTGGTGAGAGTCAGACCATTTATGACCCCATAATGACAATGTGGAATTATCTTTTCAGAAATGTTTATAATTTAATTAAAATTGGAAAAGCTGAAATGTCTTGAGTCAATAAGTATTCATTACACCCAGTCACTTCAAAGATACAGGTGTCCTTCCTAACTCAATTTCAGGAGAGGAAGGAAACCGCTCATGGACGTCACCATGAGGCCAGTGGTGACTTTAAAACATTGAAGATGGATCAACAACAACTCAACAATACTATCCTAAATGACAGAGTGAAAATAAGGAAACTTGTACAGAATAAAAATATTCCAAAACATCCATCCTGTTTGCAATAAGGCACTAAAGTAATACTGCAAAAAAATTGGCATTGAAAGTAACTTCATGTCCTGAATACAAAGCATTATGCTTGGGGCAAATCCAACACATCACTGAATACCACTCTTCAAATTTTCAAGCATGGTGGTGGCTGCATCATGTTATGGGTATGCTTGTCATCGGCAAGGACTAAGGAGTTTTTTAGGATAAAAATAAATGGAATAGAGCTAAGCACAGGCAAAAATCTAGAGCAAAACCTAGTTCAGTCTGCTTTCCTACAGACTCTGGGAAACAAATTCACCTTTCAGCAGGACAATAACCTAAAACACAAGGCCAAATCTACACTGGAGTAGCTTACCAAGACAACATTGGATGTTCCTAAGTGGCTTAGTCACAGTTTTGACTTAAATCGGCTTGAAAATATTTGGCAAGACTTGAAAATGGCTGTCTAGCAATGATCAACAACCAACTTGACAGAGCATGAAGATAAAAAAAAAAAAGTGCTAATATTGTACAATCCAGGTGTGCAAAGCTCTTAGAGACTTACCCAGAAAGACTCACAGCTGTAATCACTGCCAATGGTGATTCTAACATCTATTGACTCAGAGGTGTGTATACTTATGTAAATAAGATATTTCTGTTTTTCATTTTCAATAAAGTTGCTAACATTTCTAAAAACATGCTTTCACTTTGTCATTATGGGGTATTGTGTGTATATGAGTGGGGGAGGGGGAAGTATTTATTCCATTTTTAATTCAGGCTATAACACAACAAAATGTTGAATAAGTAAATGGGTGTGAATACTTTTTAGCAGGCACTTTAGGCTAAGATACCATAATAACATGCCTATAAATAAAATAACATAATTAATAAATAACGTATGATCCCTATTCCTGCTGCTTTTTTTTTGTTGCTATATGTATTCACATATCCTGTGTATTTATTACATCTATCTCTCCGTCTGTCCACAGACTTGGCCATTTGTTGTAGGTAGATCAGAGGACAACAAGGACATCTCTACAGACAGACTCTGTGGCGCTACATCATAGGACAGGAGGGACTGTCTCTCTGCTGGGACTGTCTCTCTGCTGGGACTGTCTCTCTGCTGGGACTGTCTCTCTGCTGGGAGTGTCTTCTTCTACCACTACAGTACTGCACTATATAGGGAATAGGGTGGATTTTTTTTGTCCTATGTCTAATAATATTATGCTATTCCATATCGGTGATTTCTTTATGGACTTTTATGGATCATTTTATTGTCTTAGATTGGCAGGTTGATGTTGCTTTCATATCCAGTCCAGACAGTGATGAGGAAACAGGACAGTGGAAAAATAAGACTAACAGCATTGATCTCTCTCTCTCTCTCTCTCTCTCTCTCTCTGCTTCTTCTTCTCTCTAGCTACTCAATCTCTCCTTCTCTCTTCCGCTAGCTCATCTATCTCTCTCTTCTCTTTCTCCTCTCTCGCTCTCTATCTTCTCTCCTCTCCTCTCGCTCTCTATTCTCTCTCCTCATCTCATTTCCTCTCTCTCTCTCTCTCTCTCAACTGAAAACAACAGTGACAACCATAACAATAGTAGATGTAATACTAATTAATATGTAAAACAAATAAATAAACATTAAAATGGCTGGTGCTCTACACTGAGTGTACAAAACATGAGAACATATTCCTAATATTTGGTGCACCCCCCCTTTGCCCTCAGAACTAGCCTCAACTCAATTAGTAGGAGCTAGTCGGAAAGCTATGGAATCTACAAGGTGTCGAACGAATTTATTTTATTGTAGAACGACAGAAAGAACTAGGAGAATCGAACATTTAGAAAGACATTTCCACCGTCTTCTCCTTGGGAGGAGGGTGAGTTGGCCCAATTGGACGCAATGCTTCCACAGTTTTTTGTCGTCACATGTGGTGTGTGAGCAAGTTGGCGGATGGTCCTTAATTGGGTGGGTGGTGGTGTTGGCTGGGGTGGAATGTGGTGGAACAATTCTTTGTGATACACCACAGGAGGGGTGGAGGAGCGGAAACTTTTTTGAGGTGTGAAAAGAAAAAAGGTTGGTGAATGGTAGCTAACTTGGTTGATGTGGAAAACCAGAGCTAGCGCTGAATTGTTTGTGTTGACTGAAATATTTGATGTGATTGAAGCAGAGAGCCAGCAGCGATGATTTTTGAGAAGGTTCTTTGAATGAAACACCTCAAAAAACCGGTTTGCGGTGCACCTGTGGGAGGAAGGCACCCCCCCTATAACTTTTGACCACGTTTCAAAGTTACTTCAATATTTTGGCTGCCCATTCCCCCTTCCGAATTGGCAACAGGCACCACACATAAAAAATCCAGTCCTCAATTGCTCAGCCTTAAAATAAAAAATCTTCTTTATCCTGTTCCTCCCCTCATCTACAATGATTGCAGTTGGATTTGAACAACTAAGTGACACTAAGGGATCACACGAGGCTTTCAACCTTGGATGGATTCCAACCTGTAGTCTATGTCATGGAAAGAGCACTCAGAGTATATTTGTCTATGATTATAATCCATGGCGGAGAATCCCGGGGAGAATGTACGTTATAGACCGCTGAAATTTTCAGAGAATTTTGCACAAAATGACGAGTTAGCAATCCACGCGAGTAAATCCGAGTCAAAGTCATAATAGTTACAACACTGACTGAGACTAAATGTCAACTGCGTAGTAGAGACACCTCTAGTGGTAATTGGAGGCCCTTAGTACGAGAAATCGTCAAATAAGTCCATAAGTAGGCACATAGAACAATTAAGTAGTATGCGGAGTAGCAATATGCTGGTAAGGCATGGAGAATCGAAGCTTGCCTGAATACTTCAGAGAATAGCGAAAGTGCGAGAATTAGTTACGAATCATGCACATGAAACCTGATGATTGTCAATCGTGGTCTAGTCTATCCTTGCTTTGGATGTGCCTTAATTATTAATGCTAATACTTGATTCCACCGTCTTCTCTGTTTGGTTGCTTTGGGACAGCTGGGCGTGCGATAGCCAGATGGCATGGTGTACACAAGCGAGATGGGGAACTGGGGGGTAATCAGGCGGGGGTGGCCAGCGAGATGGTCATTACTGTGTAAGCTTTGCCAACTCTCTCACATCACCATCAGGACCTTTTCTTTCTCCCAAAAACTATACAAAGTTTGAGCGTGTGTTTGGATGGTTGTGTGAAATGAATGTTTATAAAAATTCTCATCTAGAATTTAGGGAAGAAGAGGGGAAGAGAAAGAAGGAAAGAAAAAGAAACAAGAAGGAAAGGGAAAGTCTCTTAATAGTACTAAAAAGGATCTAATTAATATTATGGGGCAGGTGTGAGTAGAAGAAACGCTGTTGTCATTTTTGAGCCATGTTCATCTTGACTAACCAAGCGACGATCCTATTTTCGGATATTTGTCAAGGTTTTCTTTTGTTGGGGTATTTTACACGGTTGGTTAAGTATTAAGCTCTAAAGTGAAGTCTCTTCAAATGTCGACAGCGTTCCATCTTTCTCTGACCTTCGACCTCAATCCGCCAATAGTTGTTGATGTAATCTCTTCCGGCTTACTGTAGCTGTTTACATTTTGCCCTTTGGAGCCGGATAAATTTGTTCATTTTCAATCTGGTGTGTTATGGGCCAAGTTTTTGTTTGTTGAGTTGTTTCGTTTAACCAAGTTTTGATAGTTTTGCGTTTTAGTTTTTAGTTTTGTTAAGGGGTCACACAGGGAGTTGTTTATGTAAGGGGGGGTCACGGGGTCACCAAAAAAACTCTCTGGGTGGAGATTGTTGTCCAGATAAATGCTCTTTGTTCTTGTTTTTTGTAAGTAACGGAGAACTCCTGTTTTGTTTACCAACACCCCCTCAGTGTGCCGTTCATTTTGGATTGGCTACGGGGCACCGCAGAATTTGAACTTCAAGAATTGCCTACTCTGCCCCTTTTTTAATCAGGTTTCAAGTGGGGGCAGTAGTAGAAAGAGGTAGTCCAATGGTAGTGTTTGGTCAGGTCTACTGAGTAGAAGAATTAGAGACAGGATATAAGTGAGACTAGATGCGCATCCTGGCCGCCGTGTGGTCAGGGTGGAGAGGTAGGGGAGTCTGGTTAAAGTTAGAAGATCGACGCGTTAGTATTAGTAGTTGGTAGTTATGTTTGTGTAGTATAGTTAGGATTGTTAGTCGATTATTTGATTATTTCTGCCCATGCATGCGTGGTTAGGGTTGTCTAGGGATGGGGGAATTCTTTGTTTTTACATGTGGATGTTTTGCTTAATTTCAAAAAGCGGGCAGTTTTTATGGTTGTTTTTTTCTGTGGGTGTTGTTGAAACATGATGTGTATTTTGTGTATAGGGGGCCCAATTTCATACAGGAGATGTTGTTTGGGATTATGCAGTCAAATATTTGTAGCCAGATGTTGATAGGGGGTTGAGGAGGGTTTTGTGTTTGTTTGGTTAAATGGTATGATTGTTCTTTTTATGAGTGAGAGCAGTTAGTAGTTAGATGCTCTCAGTGCTTTCCAACTGACAGTGTTCTTGATTTTGTTTGTGGATAGCAGGATATAGGCATGGTTCAAACCAGCGCTGATGTTAAGACTGATGGTCCGGAGGTAGGTTGTTTGTAATCAGGGAGTTTTTTTTTTTTGTTGTGTGGTCAAGTTGGACTTCTCTAGGGGTGTTTTAACTGGTATTATTTCCTTGAAATGAAATCTTCATCATGTTCGACTGTCAATGCCCAGTCCAGTTTTGAACAAAGTTGGCAATTCAACACTGACAGGTTATGATTTGTAACCCCCCCCCGTTCTGTTGGTGGATGGAACGGTTATTTCATTGAGTTGATTTAGCTTTGCCGTACACGCATGCTATACTTTTGAATAGTGTTATGGTTATTTTGTTGTGTTTTTTTTGTGACATTACCCTTGGTCGGTTTTTCTTGTTTTTTCTGTAGAGGTTAGGTTGTAGTACGTAACTCTTACAATAGTGTTTTTGCAAAATTTCATTCTTTAACTATAGATTTATTTATTTTATAGCCTCAAGGCCTGGGTCATCATTTTGATTGGTGACCCTTTTCTTGCCCCCTTTGCAAATTGTGGAAAAAAATCAGTCGTGTTACGTTACTTTAAAAAAAAAAAAATATTATTTTTTAAGACATTATTATTTAATGTACATTGATCTTATAACTTCATAGGTTTCTTCCTCTAATTCCATTTGTGGTGAGCAGTTTTGAAAAGAGTCCTTTCCTTTATTGCCAGACCACGATGGAATCCAAAGGCTTTTGGAATGGACGTCAAAAAAGCGGCCAAGCCAATATTTGACCCTGGGGGATCCATGGGTGGAGGTGATAAGGTGGTTTGTTGATGTGTTATTTTTGTAGTTGGTGGGTCAGATGTTATTGTTTCGGTAGGAAAGCCAATTGTCATGCTCTTAAACACGTTTGAATGACAGGCACTTACAACATGTTTTTTTCATTGACAGCATTAAAAACAATGTTTCATTTGGACATGCCAACTTAAAAAACCACTGTTTTCATTGACATGCACTTCTTTTATAAACAATTTTTCATTGACATGCACTTTTCTTTAATTAAAAACACTGTTTTTTCATGACTGAACTTAAACCACTCGTTTCATTGGACATGCACTTAAACACACTGTTGTATTCATTGACATGCACTTTTTACAACACTGTTTCATGAAATGCACTAAACACACTGTTTTCATTGACATGCACTTTAAAACACGTATTTTAGTTTATTATAGCGGAAAACCTCCCTAGACTTGCTGGGTCATCGCACGGCACGGACAATTAAGTATATTAGGGTAATACTTTGGCTTCAATTTTGAAATATGGTTCGTATTTTCCATATTTTTTCTGTTTTGGAAACAGTGATTCTATATTCATGTCAACAACATCTATCGTAGTCGATTATCTTCTATCTCGTGCCATTCAGAGCTCTTGCTTCTCTTCTTATCTATATGCCTAGTCGCCGAGATGTATTTACTATCTGTCTGCTGTACGTTTAGTCCTCATCTTATCCGAAGTATTCTATTACTTGACGCACGATGACGTATCCGACCGCCCCTGTAGCCATCATTGATCTATTGTCGCAGCCCTAGAGCTGCTGAGCTATGCATCAACCTCTCTTTACTGAGACGCCGTAGCGGAGATATACTATATTTCTGCGAGAGCTAGTCGCTCTATACCGCTGCCCTATAGCCCTCTCTAGATGTAGATCCATACTCTGTCGAGCATTCTTCCCTATTTTCGTTCGTACTTTTTCGCTCTCACGCACCGCTATCTCTACCTCTAGATCGCTATTCGTCTCCTCTTCTTCTCTCTGTCTTCTAGCTCTCCTCTGTCTATCTATATGTCTAGTTTTAATTGTAACGGAGGAGAGTCTTTGTGAGCTATGTTTAATTCTCATCCTTTAACTAAATCGCGATAAGAGTCGGAATGGCCACTCTTCTTCAACACTTGACCGTACCAGACTTCCTATGGACACCCTTTTTAAAGCAAGATATGAGAAAGTGTTTCTATTTTGAGTATTTATGAGGAATATATGAGTGTTTTTATGTCTGGTTTGGTTTCATTGTTATCGCTTTCGGCTTTTTTCAGTATGTTTGGTTCTTTTAGTTGGTCCATTAGCACAGCTCTATCTGTGAATGTTGTTTATCGTTAAATTTACAGCCGTAAATGTTTTTATCCTCCCCACGAACAGAATGCTTACACTAGATGCCTTTTTGTTTTACTTCCATTTTTTATGTTTGGAGAACAGAGAATTAAGGAACTATATTTTCAGTTATTATAGTTACATGATGTGTTTGATGTTCCAATGCTCATGACAGTTACCCCCTAGTAGATATTTTTTGTATATATTTATCCATTTGGTTTTTGTTTTTGCCAATAGTGATAACCGTTAGCTAAATATATTCAGATGTTGGTGGGTTGGTCACTTTCCCCCGTGTCAGTTCGCCCGTGTTGAAAAGGTAATCTGTCTTGCAATCTCGCGTTATATTTGGTTCACGTTCATTAAAAGTCACCCTTATGCCTTGCTCTTTTTGTCACAGTGTACATTTGGGCTATTCAACCGTTCTGCAATTATTTTAATTTTTTTTATGACTTTCCAAAGCCTTTTATGACAGCGCTTTCCAGTTTCACGGACTACGACAGACGGTCACTCTCTATTCAAAGAGTTATCACATTTTTGTTCGTCGTTCTCAAATGGTATACCCTATTTCCCTTGAGCCTGGTTCTGCACTACTTTCAAACAGAGACCGACGATATGGATCTCAGTCAAAGTAGAGCACTTCTAAAGGGGAAAAATTTGGACCCAAAAAACCCATCTGGTTATATATCTTTTGGGACCAGAGAACATAAAAACCCCCCATCTGAAGTGGGCCCCAGGGTTTATTAAAGGGGGAGTTTTGATGATGTGTGGTGAGGTTATGATGATGATGTGGTGATGCCCCTGATAGAGTGGTGAGGGGTTTGTGATGTGTGGTGAGGTTATGAGATGATGGGTGAGGGCATGTGTGTGGGGGGGGGTCATGTGATGTGGTGAGGCTATGATGATGATGGGTGAGGTCAGATGATGTGTGGTGAGGTTATGATGATGTGGTGGGATGTGATGGGTAGGTCTATTTGATGTGGTAGGTCTTGATGTTGGTAGGTCTATGTATTGGTGATGCCCTGAGATATGGGGGTGAGGTCTATGTGAGTTGGTGAGTCCGAGAGAGTGGTGAGGTCTTGTGATGTGGTGAGGTCTAGATTGATGTGGGAGGTCTTGATGATGTGGTTTATGCCATGATGTGATGTGGTGAGTCCCGATGATGATGTGGTGAGGTCTATGATGTGATGTGGGGAGGTCTTATGAGATGTGGTGAGGGCTTGAGAGTGGTGATGTCCTGATGATGATGTGGTGAGTCCCTGATGTGAGTGGGGTTTTCTATGAGAGTGGTGAGGTCTGATGGGTGATGTCCCTGGGTGATGAGTGGTGAGGTCTATGATGATGATGTGGTGAGGTCTATGATGATGATGTGGTGAGGTCGATGATGATGATGTGGTGAGGTCTATGATGATTGGGGAGGTCTTGATGATTGGGTGATGCCCTGATGATGATGGGTGGGTTTTGATGTGATGTGGGGAGGTTATGATATGAGGGGGGGGGTCTATGATGAGTGGTGAGTCTAATGATAGTGGTGATGTCCCCTGATGATGAGGGTGAGGTCTATGAGATGATGGGTGAGCTTGATGTGTGTGGAGGTCTAGTGAGTGGTGAGGCTTGTGGTTTTGGGGATGTCTTTTTGATATGTGGTGAGGTCATGTGATGATGAGTGGGGGGTCTATGATGTGAGTGGTGATGTCCCCTGATGATGAGTGGGGGAGGTCTATGATGATGATGTGGTGGGTTATGATGTGATTGGGGAGGTCTATGATGATGTGGGGAGGTCATGAGATGTGGTGAGTTACGTGATGATGTGGTGAGGGCTATGATGATGAGTGGTGAGGGCTATAGAGATGAGTGGTGAGGTCTTGATGAGATTTTGGGGATGTTATGATGATGATGTGGGGAGGTTATGATATGATGTGGTGAGGGTTTTGATGATGATGTGGGTGAGGGGCTTTTAGATGATGTGGGGGTCCTGTGTGTGGGTGAGGTCTATGATGAGATGTGGTGGGTTATGATGATGATGTGGTGATGTCTATGTGTGATGTGGGAGGTCTATGATGTGTGTGGTGAGGGTTTTGTGATGAGTGGTGAGTTATGATGATGTGTGGTGGGGGTAGATGATGATGGGTGAGGTTTATGATGATTTAAGCGCATTTAGCAGAGTCTTTTCCAGAGCGATTACAGTAGTGGTGCATACTAATTTTTTTTTTCATTCGGGCCCCCGGGGGTCGAACCCCAACCGGCGTTGCAAACGCCTGCTTACCAAAATGAGCTAAAACCCCGCCCGGCCATTTCCCCCCCACCTGGAACGGGGCCAATTTTTCGCCCCAGGGGTTCCTGGCGTGGCGGGTACGACAGAGCCGGATTGAACCCGGATGGCTTAGACCACTGCGCCACTCGGGAGGTATGTGGTGAGGTCTAATGATGATGTGGTGCTGTCCATGTGGAGTGATGTGGTGAGTCTCGATGAGTGGTGAGGTTAGATGATGAAGTGGTGAGGTCTATTGATGATGATGTGATGTATATGATGATGTGGTGAGGTCTATGATGATGATGTGGTGCGGTCTTATGCTGATGTGGTGATGTCTATGATGAATGATTTTGGTAGATGTATATGATGAGGTGGTGTGGTGATATGTCTTCTCTGGGTTTTACAGGGGACTGGGTTGTATAGGATACAGGATTAATTGCAGTGAGATAGCCTATTGATTCTGAGTGTTCTCATGTTGCAAAATACACACACATACATGATTAAAGGGTGATTGTCCCTGACCAATCATGTTATCAGAATAAAATGTGCATTACTACAATTATTTTTATACCAGCAATCTGCGATTTGCAAGTAGTTTACCTGTCCCCCCCCCCCGCTATCTATCCTTCTCCCTCCCTCCCTCTTCTCTCGCTCTCTCTCTCCCTCTCTCTCCCACAGTCCTTCTGACTAGGTCACAGTCCTCCTGACTAGGTCAAAGCACTCCTGACAAGGTCACAGCCCTCCTGACTAGGTCACAGTCCTCCCGACTAGATCACAGTCCTATGGGACTATGTCACAGTCCTCCCAAAGAGGTCACAGCCCTACTGATAGGTAACAGTCCTCCAGAACTAGGTCAAAAGTCCTATTGAGAGGTCTAACCTCGACTGACCTAGGTACAGCCTCCGACTATGTCACAGTACTCCCAATAGGGTCACAGTCCTCCGAGTAGATCTCAGCTCTCCTGATAGGTCCACAGCCCTTCCTGAACTGTGTCCACAGTCCTCCGACTAGGTCCAGTCCTCTTGAGTAGGTCCAGCTCATGACTAGGGTCCACAGCCCTCCTGCGACTATGTCACATTTCTCCCGACTAGGTCACAGTCTCCTGAGTTGGTCTCAGCTCTCATGACTAGGTCACAGTCTCCGAATGTCTCAGCCCTCCTAAGTAGGTCTCATCTCTCCTGAAGTAGGTCACAGCCCTCGCTGATAGGTTCACAGTCCTCCCGGACTAGGTCCAAAGTACGCCTGAGTCGGTCAGCTCCGACTAGGTCACAGCCCTCTGACTAGGTCCAGTCTCCTGATAGGTCACAGTCCTCCTGAGTAGGTCTCAGCTTCCCTGATAGGTACAGCCTCTATAGTCACAGTCTCCGATAGGTCACTCCTCTGAGTAGGTCTCAGCTCTCCTGACTAGGTCACAGCCCTCTGACTAGTCACAGTCCTCCCGACTAGGTCACAGTCCCCCTGATAGGTCAGCTCTCCTATAGGTCCAGCCTCCGAATAGGTTCACCCCTAGTAGGTCTCAGCCTCCTGAGTAGGTCACAGTCCTCCTGACTAGGTCACAGCTCCGACTAGTCAAGTCTCCTGATAGGTCCAGCTCTTGATAGTCCAGCCTCCTGACTAGGTCACAGTCTCTGAGTAGGTCACATCCTCCTGATAGGTCCACTTCCTACTAGTCACAGCCTCCTGACTAGGTCACAGTCCTCCCGACTAGGTCACAGTCCTCGAGGGTCTCAGTCTCCTGATAGGTCACAGCCCTCCTGGGCTAGGTCACAGCCTCCTGAGTAGGTCACAGTCCCTGAGTAGGTCCAGCTCTCCTGACTAGGTCACCCGCCCTCCTGACTATGTCACAGTCTCCCGACTAGGTCACAGTCCTCTTGAGTAGGTCTCAGCTCTTGACTAGGTCACAGCCTCCTGACTATGTACAGTCCTCCGACTAGGTCCAGTCCTCCTGAGTAGGTCTCAGCTCTCCTGACTAGGTCACAGTCTCCGAATAGGTCTCAGCCTCCTAAGTGGTCTCAGCTCTCCTGATGGTCAAGTCCTCCTGACTAGGTCACAGTCCTCCAGACTAGGTCACAGTCCTCTGAGTAGGTCTCACTCTCCTGACTAGGTCCACAGCCCTCCTGATAGGTCACAGTCTCCTGAGTAGGTCACAGTCCTCCTGAGTAGGTCTCAGCTCTCGACTAGGTCACAGCCCTCCTGACTATGTCACAGTCCTCCCGACTAGGTCACAGTCCTCTTGAGTAGGTCTCAGCTCTCCTGATAGGTCACAACCCACTCCAGCCATGTCACATCCCTTCCCAACTAGGTCACAGCCCTCTGACTAGTCACAGTCTCCCGACTAGGTCACAGTCCTCTGAGTAGGTCTCAGTCTCCTGACTAGGTCACAGCCTCCTGACTATGCTCAGCCTCCAACTAGGTCACAGTCCTCCTGAGTAGTCATCAGCTCCTCCTGACTAGGTCACAGCCTCCGACTATGTCACAGTCCTCCCGACTAGGTCACAGTCCTCTTGAGTAGGTCTCAGCCTCCTGACTAGGTCACACCCTCTGACTAGTCACATCCTCCCGATAGGTCACAGTCCTCCTGAGTTGGTCTCAGCCCTCCTGACTAGTCACAGTCCTCCCGATAGGTCACAGCCTCTAAGTAGGTCTCAGCTTCCTGAGTAGGTCCACAGCCCTCCTGACTAGGTCCAGTCCTCCCGACTAGGTCACAGCCTCCTGAGTAGGTCTCAGCTCTCCTGACTAGGTCACAGCCCTCCTGACTAGGTCACAGTCCTCCTGAGTAGGTCACAGCCTCCTGAGTAGTTCTCAGCTCCTGACTAGGTCACAGCCCTCCCGACTATGTCACAGTCCTCCCGACTAGGTCACAGCTCCTGAGTAGGTTCAGCTCTCCTGATAGGTCACAGCCTCCTGACTAGGTCACAGCTCCCCTGATAGGTCACAGCTCCCTGACTAGGTCACAGTCCTCCTGAGTAGGTCTCAGCTCTCCTGACTAGGTCACAGCCCTCCTGACTAGGTCACCAGTCCTCTGAAGTAGGTCACAGTCCTCCTGAGTAGGTCTCAGCTCTCCTGATAGGTCACAGCCCTCCTGACTAGGTCACAGTCCTCCCGACTAGGTCACAGTCCTTTGAGTAGGTCTCAGCTCTCCTGGACTAGGGTCACAGCCCTCCTGACTATGTCACAGTCCTCCCGACTAGGTCCCAGTCCTCCTGAGTAGGTCTTCAAGCTCTCCTGACTAGGTCACAGTCCTCCGAATAGGTCTCAGCCCTCCTAAGTAGTGTCTCAGCTCTCCTGAGTTAGGTCACATTCCTCCTGATAGGTTCACAGTCACTCCAGACTAGGGTCCACAGTCCTCCTGAGTAGGTCTCAGCTCTTCCTTGACTAGGTCACAGGCCCTTCCTGACTCGGTCACAGTCCTCCTGAGTAGGTCACTAGGTCACAGTCATCGAGTAGGTCTCAGCCTCTCCATGACTAGCGTCACCAGCCCTCCTGACTATGTCACAGTCCTCCCGACTAGGTCACAGTCCTCTTGAGTAGGTCTCAGCTCTCCTGACTAGGTCACAACCCTCCTGACCATGTCACAGTCCTCCCGACTAGGTCACAGTCCTCCTGAGTAGATCTCAGCTCTACTGACTAGGTCACAGCCCTCCTGACTAATACACAGTCCTCCCGACTAGGTCACAGTCCTCCTGAGTAGGTCTCAGCTCTCCTGACTAGGTCACAGTCCTCTGAATAGGTCTCAGCCTTCCTAAGTAGGTCTCAGCTCTCCTGAGTAGGTCACAGTCCTCCTGACTAGGTCACAGTCCTCCCGACTAGGTCACAGTCCTCCTGAGTAGGTCTCAGCTCTCCAGACTAGGTTACAGCCCTCCTGACTAGGTCACAGCCCTCCTGACTAGGTCACAGTCCTCCTGAGTAGGTCTCAGCTCTCCTGACTAGGTCAAAGCCCTCCTGACTATGTCACAGTCCTCCCGACTAGGTCACAGTCCTCTTGAGAAGGTCTCAGCTCTCCTGACTAGGTCACAGTCCTCCTGACTAGGGTCTCAGCTCTCCTGACTAGGTCACAGCCTCCTGACTAGGTCTCAGCCCTCTGAGGTAGGGTTCTTCAGCACTCCTGACTAGGTCACAGTCCCTCCCTGAGTAGGTCACAGCCCTCCTGAGTAGTTCTCAGCTCGCCTGTCTAGGTCACAGCCCTCCTGACTATGTCACAGTCCTCCCGACTAGGTCACAGTCCTCTTGAGTAGGTCTCAGCTCTCCTGACTAGGTCACAGCCCTCCTGACTATGTCACAGTCCTCCCGACTAGGTCACAGTCCTCCTGAGTAGGTCTCAGCTCTCCTGACTAGGTCACAGTCCTCCGAATAGGTCTCAGCCCTCCTAAGTAGGTCTCAGCTCTCCTGAGTAGGTCACAGTCCTCCTGACTAGGTCACAGTCCTCCCGACTAGGTCACAGTCCTCCTGAGTAGGTCTCAGCTCTCCTGACTTGGTCACAGCCCTCCTGACTAGGTCACGGTCCTCCTGAGTAGGTCACAGTCCTCCTGAGTAGGTCTCAGCTCTCCTGACTAGGTCACAGCCCTCCTGACTATGTCACAGTCCTCCCGACTAGGTCACAGTCCTCTTGAGTAGGTCTCAGCTCTCTTGACTAGGTCACAACCCTCCTGACCATGTCACAGTCCTCCCGACTAGGTCACTGTCCTCCTGAGTAGGTCTCAGCTCTACAGACTAGGTCACAGCCCTCCTGACTATGTCACAGTCCTCCCGACTAGGTCACAGTCCTCCTGAGTAGGTCTCAGCTCTCCTGACTAGGTCACAGTCCTCTGAATAGGTGTCAGCCCTCCTAAGTAGGTCTCAGCTCTCCTGAGTAGGTCACAGTCCTCCTGACTAGGTCACAGTCCTCCCGACTAGGTCACAGTCCTCCTGAGTAGGTCTCAGCTCTCCTGACTAGGTCACAGCCTTCCTGACTAGGTCACAGCCCTCCTGACTAGGTCACAGTCCTCCTGAGTAGGTCTCAGCTCTCCTGACTAGGTCACAGCACTCCTGACTATGTCACAGTCCTCCCGACTAGGTCACAGTCCTCTTGAGTAGGTCTCAGCTCTCCTGACTAGGTCACAGTCCTCCTGACTAGGTCTCAGCTCTCCTGACTAGGTCACAGCCCTCCTGACTAGGTCTCAGCCCTCCTGAGTAGGTCTCTGCACTCCTGACTAGGTCACAGTCCTCCTGAGTAGGTCACAGCCCTCCTGAGTAGATCTCAGCTTGCCTGACTAGGTCACAGCCCTCCTGACTATGTCACAGTCCTCCCGACTAGGTCACAGTCCTCTTGAGATAGATCTCAGCTCTTCTGAGTAGGTCACAGCCCTCCTGACTATGTCACAGTCCTCCCGACTAGGTCACAGTCCTCTTTAGTAGGTCTCAGCTCTCCTGACTAGGTCACAGCCCTCCTGACTATGTCACAGTCCTCCCGACTAGGTCACAGTCCTCCTGAGTAGGTCTCAGCTCTCCTGAGTAGGTCTCAGCTCTCCTGACTAGGTCACAGCCCTCCTGACTAGGTCCCAGCCCTCCTGAGTAGGTCTCAGCTCTCCTGACTAGGTCACAGTCCTCCTGAGTAGGTCACAGCCCTCCTGAGTAGTTCTCAGCTCGCCTGACTAGGTCACAGCCCTCCTGACTATGTCACAGTCCTCCCGACTAGGTCACAGTCCTCTTGAGTAGGTCTCAGCTCTCCTGACTAGGTCACAGCCCTCCTGACTATGTCACAGTCCTTCCGACTAGGTCACAGTCCTCCTGAGTAGATCTCAGCTCTCCTGAGTAGGTCTCAGCTCTCCTGACTAGGTCACAGCCCTCCTCAGTAGGTCTCAGCCCTCTTGAGTAGGTCTCAGTCTCCGGACTAGGTCACAGTCCTCCTGACTAGGTCTCAGCTCTCCTGACTAGGTCACAGCCCCCCTGAGTAGGTCTCAGCCCTCCTGAGTAGGTCTCAGCTCTCCTGACTAGGTCACTGCCCTCCTGAGTAGGTCTCAGCTCTACTGACTAGGTCACAGTTCTCCCGACTAGGTCACAGCCCTCCTGAGTATGTCACAGTCCTCCTGACTAGGTCACAGTCATCTGAATAGGTGTCAGCCCTCCTAAGTAGGTCTCAGCTCTCCTGAGTAGGTCACAGTCCTCCTGACTAGGTCACATTCCTCCCGACTAGGTCACAGTCCTCCTGAGTAGGTCTCAGCTCTTCTGTCTAGGTCACAGCCTCCTGACTATGTCACAGTCCTCCCGACTAGGTCACAGTCCTCTTGAGTAGGTCTCAGCTCTCCTGACTAGGTCACAGCCCTCCTGACTATGTCACAGTCCTCCCGACTAGGTCACAGTCCTCTTGAGTAGGTCTCAGCTCTCCTGACTAGGTCACAGCCCTCCTGACTAGGTCACAGTCCTCCGATAGGTCACCAGTCCCCCTGAGTAGGGTCTCCAGCTCTCCTGACTAGGTCACAGCCCTCCTGACTAGGTCACAGTCCTCCCGACTAGGTCACAGTCCTCCTGAGTAGGTCTCAGCTCTCCTGACTAGGTCACAGCCCTCCTGACTAGGTCACAGCCCTCCTGACTAGGTCACAGTCCTCCGACTAGGTCCAGTCCTCTGAGTAGGTTCAGCCCTGACTAGGTCACAGCCCTGACTAGGTCACAGTCCTTCCGATAGGTCACAAGACTATGTTTCCCACAGTCCCCTCCGACTAGGTCACAGTCCTCTTGAGTAGGTCTCAGCTCTCCTGACTAGGTCACGCCCTCCTGACTATGTCACAGTTCTCCCGACTAGGTCACCGTCCCTCCTGAGTAGGTCTCAGCTCTCCTGACTAGGTCACAGTCCCTCCGAATAGGTCTCAGCCCTCCTAAGTAGGTCTCAGCTCTCCTGAGTAGGTCACAGTCCTCCTGACTAGGTCACAGTCCTCCAGACTAGGTCACAGTCCTCCTGAGTAGGTCTCAGCTCTCCTGACTAGGTCACAGCCCTCCTGACTAGGTCACAGTCCTCCTGAGTAGGTCACAGTCCTCCTGAGTAGGTCTCAGCTCTCCTGACTAGGTCACAGCCCTCCTGACTAGGTCACAGTCCTCCCGACTAGGTCACAGTCCTCCTGAGTAGGTCTCAGCTCTCCTGACTAGGTCACAGCCCTACACTTGGACTCAATGGTCACACAGTCCCTCCTGAGTTAGGTCTCAGCTCTCCTGACTAGGTCACAGCCCTCCTGACTATGTCACAGTCCTCCCGACTAGGTCACAGTCCTCTTGAGTAGGTCTCAGCTCTCCTGACTAGGTCACAGCCCTCCTGACTATGTCACAGTCCTCCCGACTAGGTCACAGTCCTCCTGAGTAGGTCTCAGCTCTCCTGACTAGGTCACAGTCCTCCGAATAGGTCTCAGCCCTCCTAAGTAGGTCTCAGCTCTCCTGAGTAGGTCACAGTCCTCCTGACTAGGTCACAGTCTCCAGGGACTAGGGCACAGTCTCCTGAGTAGGTCTCAGCTCTCCTGACTAGGTCACAGCCCTCCTGGACTAGGTCACAGTCCTCCTGAGTAGGTCACAGTCCTCCTGAGTAGGTCTCAGCTCTCCCTGACTAGGTCACAGCCCTCTGACTATGTCACAGTCCCTCCGACTAGGTCACAGTCCTCTTGAGTAGGTCTCAGCTCTCCTGACTAGGTCACAACCCTCCTGACATGTCACAGTCCTCCCGACTAGGTCACAGTCCTCCTGAGTAGGTCTCAGCTCTCCTGACTAGGTCACAGCCTCCTGACTAATCACAGTCCTCCGAACTAGGTCACAGTCCTTCCTGAGTAGGTCTCAGCTCTCCTGACTAGGTCACAGTCCTCCCGGAATAGGTCTCAGCTCTCCTGTAGGTCTCAGCCTCGGTAGGTCCGTCCTCCTGAGTAGGTCACCCCAGGGCCTCCGACTAGGTCACAGCCTCCTGAGTAGGTTCAGCTCTCCTGACTAGGTCACAGCCCTCCTGACTAGGTCACAGTCCCTCCGACTAGGTCACAGTCCTCTGAGTAGGTCTCAGCTCTCCTGATAGGTCACAGCCCTCCTGACTATGTCACAGTCCTTCCCCGACTAGGTCACAGTCCTCTTGAGTAGGTCTCAGCTCTCCTGACTAGGTCACAGCCTCCTGACTAGGTCTCAGTCTCCTGACTAGGTCCACAGGCCCTCCTGACTAGGTCTCAAGCCCTCCTGAGTAGGTCTCAGCACTCCTGATAGGTCACAGTCCTCCTGAGTAGGTCACAGCCCTCCTGGTAGTTTCAGCTCGCCTGTCTAGGTCACAGCCCTCCTGACTATGTCACAGTCCTCGACTAAGTCACAGTCCTCTTGAGTAGGTCTCAGCTCTCCTGAGTAGGTTCAGCTCTCCGACTAGGTCAACTCCCTCCTGAGTAGGTCTCAGCTCTCGACTAGGTCACAGTTCTCCCGCTAGGTCACAGCCCTCCTGAGTATGTCACAGTCCTCCTGACTAGGTCACAGTCATCTGAATAGGTGTTCAGCCCTCCTAAGTAGGTCTCAGCTCTCCTGAGTAGGTCACAGTCCCCCTGACTAGTCACATCCTCCCGACTAGGTCACAGTCCTCCTGAGTCAGGTCTCAGCTCTTGCTGCTAGGTCACAGCCCTCCTGACTATCACAGTCCTCCGACTAGGTCACAGTCCTCCCTTTAGTAGGTCTCAGCTCTCCTGACTAGGTCACAGCCTCCTGACTATGTCACAGTCCTCCCGACTAGGTCACAGTCCTCTTGAGTAGGTCTCAGCTCTCCTGACTAGGTCACAGCCCTCCTGACTAGGTCACAGTCCTCCTGAGTAGTCAGTCCTCTGAGTAGGTCTCCTCTCCTGACTAGGTCACAGCCCTCCTGACTATGTCACAGTCCTCCCGATAGGTCACAGTCCTCCTGAGTAGTGTCAGCTCTCCTGACTAGGTCACAGCCTCCTGACTAGTCACAGCCTCGACTAGGTCACAGTCCTCCCGATAGGTCACAGTCCTCCTGAGTAGGTCTCAGCTCTCCTGACTAGGTCACAGCCCTCCTGACTAGGTCACAGTCCTCCTGAGTAGGTCACAGTCTCCTGAGTAGGTCTCAGCTTCCTGACTAGGTCACAGCCCTCCTGACTATGTCACAGTCCTCCCGACTAGGTCACAGTCCTCTGAGTAGGTCTCAGCTCTCCTGACTAGGTCACAGCCCTCCTGACTATGTCACACGCCTCCCGACTAGGTCACAGTCCTCTGAGTAGGTCTCAGCTCTCCTGACTAGGTCACAGTCCTCGAATAGGTCCTCGCCTCCTAAGTAGGTCTCAGCTCTCCTGAGTAGGTCACAGCTCTCCTGACTAGGTCACAGTCCTCCAGACTAGGGCACAGTCCGAGTCTCACTCTTGACTAGGTCACAGCCTCCTGACTAGGTCACAGTCCTCCTGAGTAGGTCACAGCCTCCTGAGTAGGTTCTCAGCTCTCCGACTAGGTCACAGCCCTCCTGACTAGGTCACGCCCTCCTGATAGGTCACAGTCCTCTGAGTAGGTCTCAGCTCTCCTGACTAGTCACAGCCTCCTGACTAGGGCCACCTCCCGAGTAGGTCACAGTCTCTGAGTAGGTCTCAGCTCTCCTGACAGTCAGCCTCTGACTAGGTCACAGTCCTGACTAGGTACAGTCCTCTGATGGTTAGCCTCCTTGAATAGGTCAAAGCCCTGCCTGAATAGTCACAGTCCTCCCGACTAGGTCCACGTCCTCCTGAGTATTTGGTCTCAGCTCTCCTGAGTAGGTCTCAGCTCTCCTGACTAGGTCACCCGCCCCTCCTGACTAGGTCTCAGCCCTCATGAGTAAGGTCTTCATGCTCTCCTGACTAGGTCCACAGTCCTCCTGAGTAGGGTCACAGCCCTCCTGAGTAGTTCTCAAGCTCGCCTCTGACTAGGTCACAGCCCTCCTGACTATGTCACAGTCCTCCCGACTAGGTCACAGGTCCCTCTTGAGTAGGTCTCAAGCTCTCCTATGATAGGTCACAGCCCTCCTGACTATGTCACAGTCAGTCCCGACTAGGTCACAGTCCTCCTGAGTAGGTCTCAGCTCTCTGAGTAGGTCTCAGCTCTCCTGACTAGGTACAGCCCTCCTCAGTAGGTCTCAGCCCTCTGAGTAGGTCTCAGCTCTCCTGACTAGGTCACAGTCCTCTGACCAGGTCTCAGCTCATATGACTAGGTCACAGCCCCCCTGAGTAGGTCTCAGCCCTCCTGAGTAGGTCTCAGCTCTCCTGACTAGGTCACAGCCCTCCTGAGCTATGTCACAGTCCTCCTGACTAGGTCACAGTCCTCTGAATAGGTGTCAGCCCTCCTAAGTAGGTCTCAGCTCTCCTGAGTAGGTCACAGTCCTCCTGACTAGGTCACAGTCCTCCCGACTAGGTCACAGTCCTCCTGAGTAGGTCTCAGCTCTCCTGACTACGTCACAGCCCTCCTGACTAGGTCACAGCCCTCCTGACTAGGTCACAGTCCTCCTGAGTAGGTCTCAGCTCTCCTGACTAGGTCACAGCCCTCCTGACTATGTCACAGTCCTCCCGACTAGGTCACAGTCCTCTTGAGTAGGTCTCAGCTCTCCTGAGTAGGTCTCAGCTCTCCTGACTAGGTCACAGCCCTCCTCAGTAGGTCTCAGCCCTCTTGAGTAGGTCTCAGCTCTCCTGACTAGGTCACAGTCCTCCTGACTAGGTCTCAGCTCTCCTGACTAGGTCACAGCCCCCCTGAGTAGGTCTCAGCCCTCCTGAGTAGGTCTCAGCTCTCCTGACTAGGTCACAGCCCTCCTGAGTATGTCACAGTCCTCCTGACTAGGTCACAGTCCTCTGAATAGGTGTCAGCCCTCCTAAGTAGGTCTCAGCTCTCCTGAGTAGGTCACAGTCCTCCTGACTAGGTCACAGTCCTCCCGACTAGGTCACAGTCCTCCTGAGTAGGTCTCAGCTCTCCTGACTAGGTCACAGCCCTCCTGACTAGGTCACAGCCCTCCTGACTAGGTCACAGTCCTCCTGAGTAGGTCTCAGCTCTCCTGACTAGGTCACAGCCCTCCTGACTATGTCACAGTCCTCCCGACTAGGTCACAGTCCTCTTGAGTAGGTCTCAGCTCTCCTGACTAGGTCACAGTCCTCCTGACTAGGTCTCAGCCCTCCTGACTAGGTATCAGCCCTCCTGAGTAGGTCTCAGCTCTCCTGACTAGGTCACAGTCCTCCTGAGTAGGTCACAGCCTTCCTGAGTAGTTCTCAGCTCGCCTGACTAGGTCACAGCCCTCCTGACTATGTCACAGTCCTCCCGACTAGGTCACAGTCCTCTTGAGTAGGTCTCAGCTCTCCTGACTAGGTCACAGCCCTCCTGACTATGTCACAGTCCTCCCGACTAGGTCACAGTCCTCTTGAGTAGGTCTCAGCTCTCCTGACTAGGTCACAGCCCTCCTGACTATGTCACAGTCCTCCCGACTAGGTCACAGTCCTCCTGAGTAGGTCTCAGCTCTCCTGAGTAGGTCTCAGCTCTCCTGACTAGGTCACAGCCCTCCTGACTAGGTCTCAGCCCTCCTGAGTAGGTCTCAGCTCTCCTGACTAGGTCACAGTCCTCCTGAGTAGGTCACAGCCCTCCTGAGTAGTTCTCAGCTCGCCTGACTAGGTCACAGCCCTCCTGACTATGTCACAGTCCTCCCGACTAGGTCACAGTCCTCTTGAGTAGGTCTCAGCTCTCCTGACTAGGTCACAGCCCTCCTGACTATGTCACAGTCCTCCCGACTAGGTCACAGTCCTCTTGAGTAGGTCTCAGCTCTCCTGACTAGGTCACAGCCCTCCTGACTATGTCACAGTCCTCCCGACTAGGTCACAGTCCTCCTGAGTAGGTCTCAGCTCTCCTGAGTAGGTCTCAGCTCTCCTGACTAGGTCACAGCCCTCCTGAGTAGGCCTCAGCCCTCCTGAGTAGGCCTCAGCTCTCCTGACTAGGTCACAGTCCTCCTGAGTAGGTCTCAGCTCTCCTGAGTAGGTCTCAGCTCTCCTGACTAGGTCACAGCCCTCCTGAGTAGGCCTCAGCCCTCCTGAGTAGGTCTCAGCTCTCCTGACTAGGTCACAGTCCTCCTGAGTAGGTCTCAGCCCTCCTGAGTAGGTCTCAGCTTTCCTGACTTGGTCACAGTCCTCCTGAGTAGGTCTCAGCCCTCCTGAGTAGGTCTCAGCTCTCCTGACTAGGTCACAGTCCTCTTGAGTAGGTCTCAGCCCTCCTGAGTAGGTCTCAGCTCTCCTGAGTAGGTCTCAGTCCTCCTGACTAGGTCTCAGTCCTCCCTGAAGTCCCTACTACCCTCTCCAGATGGTATGTTAGTTAGGCTATCCCACAGTCAGTCCCAGTCCAACCATAACACACCACTTCAACAAACTCTTTGAACCTTAGTCAGTGTTCCAGGCCTGAATTAAACTCAGCCTACGTAAAAAACACTGCACCCAAACATGACAGGGATCTCTTGATCTACCAGCAGTTTATTTGGTATAATCCCCAAATTATACATGTTGGGACGCATACAAATACGAGCACACACACACACACACACACACACACACACACACACACACACACACACACACACACACACACACACACACACACGCACAGTGATAATTAGAACTATTGCAGACTTAGGAGAGGAAAAGAGAATAGAGGAGAGAAGAGAGAAATACTTGATCGGGCTCCTGGAGGATTGCAGCTGTTGGGTGGTTGGTGAGTTTCCCAGGGCTGTGAACCGGTCCCATGGGACAGATGAGGCACTCTACTGGGCTTGGCCAGCTAATGAGCCAGCCTCTCACATTCACCCCCTGGTTCTTCCTCACACCAACCATCCACAGTGGATATGTATAATAACAAGGGAAACAAAGCTAGATGTAACTATGGGATTTACATTAACCTCCCGAGTGGCGCAGTGGTCTAAGGCACTGCATTGCAGTGCTAGCTGTGCCACTAGAGATCCTGGTTCGAATCCAGGGTCCAGGGTAGGGGAGGGAATGGCCGGCAGGGATGTAGCTCAGTTGGTAGAGCATGGTGTTTGCAACGCCAGGGTTGTGGGTTCGATTCCCACAGGCGGACAGTATAAAAAAATAAAAAATAATGTATGCACTCACTAACTGTAAGTCGCTCTGGAAAAGAGTGTCTGCTAAATGAAAAAATAAAAATAAAAATGAAATGGGGTTGCTATTTAATCAAGATTTTTATAGGCATCACCACCAAGCGTCCACAGGTCCTCATCTGCATTGAGGCATCACCACCACCAAGCATCCACAGGTCCTCATCTACATTAAAGTTGCATCCACTTTTCAACCTAATTTTTCAGTATCTCCAGCACCATACCGGCAGGGTGGGAAAATATGTTTTGGGTCCACCAGCCACAGTGGCAGGTAGATAAACACATCTACCAGACAAAATTGGTTTTTCGCCATAAGGGGGGTCATGTTTTTTTTCAATTTCAGTCAGGGGGAGGGTTTACATTTTTTATTTTTTTAGTCCAGGGGAGGGTCATGTAATTTGTAATCGATTAAATGTCATATTGCTCAGGGTTTGAGAATACGTTTCTTATTATAGTATCTCACGTGTGCCCGATGATGCCACTTATCCCTGATTCCCTGCTGGGTGCCCAATTTCAAGTGGGCCTATTGTGGTGTCAATAATATTATCCATACAGTGCCTTTGCAAAAGTATTCATCCCCCTTGGCGTTTTTCCTATTTTGTTGCATTACAACCTGTAATTTAAATGGATTTTTATTTGGATTTCATGTAATGGACATACACAAAATAGTCCAAATTGGTGAAGTGAAATGAAAAAAATAGTAAAGGCCCCATATTGATCGGTGCCTTCAAATCTTTGTTGTGACTTACTACCATATATGGGCATACGAATTTATAAGGGCAGGGCGAGCCGATTACCTCATTCCAAGATGGCTGCTACCTACATTCCGGTTAGCATTGTGAAGCATAAAGGAAATAAACATGGAATACGTTGATACACACCGAAAGCCGGGACTCCACAGATCATGAAGAGGTCTTATTTGTCTGCCTGTGACCTACTGTTATTGATCACCAGCCCAGAGAGTCAAAATGTTTATTTTACACAACGTTTTCACCAAACAGCAAACATCTTACAAGGTAAGCTTAGATTTGGTCTGTGTTTGAGATATAGCTACATGGGGGTTATCAAATCTAGCCTATTGCCAATGTTATCTGATGATGTATGACTTAATGGCAACATCGAATGTCCACCAAGTGACCATATCTTTGCGCATCAAAAATATGACGTTGCTGAAGGCATCCACTACACAGGGGATTGGCTACTATGGCAGCTTGACAGTCTTGTAGCCAATGAGATAAGCTTTCCAGGCATATGCAGTTGACCTGGGTGGGACAAAGCAAGGCCTAGAACCTTTTATGCGTAATGCGAACTATTGCTACCTGGCTCAGAGACGAGATGCACCGAACACGCTACGTTGCATTGTAAACAGATTTCATCGCTTTACCATAAAAGATGGCTTCTAAAGGGGGGTAAAAAAAGTTAAAAACTAAGAATATTGAACAGGAAGCTAAAAAGAAGGCAGCTATGAATAAGTATACCAACATAGAAGCTTTGAATAAAATACTGGAGTCGGACTCGGATCAGGGGAGCGATTTGGACAATGAGGATTTCGACTTGGCTGACGAAGAAAATTATTTTCATTACTATATATAGCTAAAATGTATTTCACTTTAAATAAGCTTTGGATTTAGTTTACATAGGCCTATGTAACAGGTCATTTCAATGTTATATAAGTAGTTATTGCCTATGTTTCATATTAGTTCACTGTTTGCTGTTCTAAGTTTCATCCTTGTAACTTTGGAGAGGCCACTAAACTCTCATGGCCATTGTTTATTTGTGGTTCTCACCTCTGCCTTTGTCTCCAAAGTGTTTCTGTTTGCATTGTGTGTGCTTCACACCTTCTATGTAAGTCACTGTACAGATAAAGTTCAGGCTTGGTATTTTTTCTTTACAGTAATGTCGTTTTGTAAATTTAGTCAACTGTAATTCTGTGTGTCTTACAACAATATATCCCTTAATTTTTTTCACCACAGAGTGGAGGATGCAGAGGATTTGGATGATGACGTTTGGGAGCTACCCCTCCTCAGCAAGCGCCCCCGCCGGTCAAGGTCTTCATCCCCCCCCACTGCTATGTCAATCACCCCGTCTGTTTGTTCTACATACACTACTCCGCAAAGACCCCACTCCTCTTCAACCACCCCCACTGCAGGCCCTGGCACCACTCCCCTCTCTCTCTCTGCAAGTTCATCTGGAGGTGTGGGGGCAGGGAGGAGATCTAGGCCTCAACAGAGGAGAGGGAGAGGGAGAGGAAGCAGCACAACAGAGGAGAGGGAGAGGAAGCAGCACAACAGAGGAGAGGGAGAGGAAGCAGCACAACAGAGGAGAGGGAGAGGAAGCAGCACAACAGAGGAGAGGGAGAGGGAGAGGCAGTGGAAGCAGCACAACAGAGGAGAGGGAGAGGCAGTGGAAGCAGCACAACAGAGGAGAGGGAGAGGCAGTGGAAGCAGCACAACAGAGGAGAGGGAGAGGCAGTGGAAGCAGCACAACAGAGGAGAGGGAGAGGGAGAGGCAGTGGAAGCAGCACAACAGAGGAGAGGGAGAGGCAGTGGAAGCAGCACAACAGAGGAGAGGGAGAGGCAGTGGAAGCAGCACAACAGAGGAGAGGGAGAGGCAGTGGAAGCAGCACAACAGAGAAGAGGGAGAGGCAGTGGAAGCAGCACAACAGAGGAGAGGGAGAGGCAGTGGAAGCAGCACAACAGAGAAGAGGGAGAGGCAGTGGAAGCAGCACAACAGAGGAGAGGGAGGGGGAGAGGCAGTGGAAGCAGCACAACAGAGGAGAGGGAGGGGGAGAGGCAGTGGAAGCAGCACAACAGAGGAGAGGGAGAGGCAGTGGAAGCAGCACAACGCAGTGGAAGCAGCACAACAGAGGAGAGGGAGAGGCAGTGGAAGCAGCACAACAGAGGAGAGGGAGAGGCAGTGGAAGCAGCACAACAGAGGGAGATTAAACTGAGGACAGGTGGCATACGGTCCTTGAAGATGAGGAGGAGACAGAACAATTTAGGTTTAAACCCCAACGACCTGAAGGCCCACAGTTGGTTAGTGATGAAAACATACACCCCCTTTCAGCTGTTTCAGCTGTACTTTACCACCGCTGTACTGGGAACACTAATTAGTCATACCAACAAGTATGGGGACAAGAAGCAGCAGGGGGGAAGGAAGAAGTCCTGGAAACCTGTCACCATGGGTGACATGCTCAACTACGTTTCCTTGGTGATTTACATGGGACTGGTAAAGGTTTCAAGACTAGTTGACAACTGGAGCAAGTCCCGACTCTATCAGTTGGAGTTCCCCACCTCCATCATGAGTGAAAACCGATTCTTGGCCATCAACCGTACTCTTCATATGAGTGACCCACAGAGGGATCAGGAGAATGTCCAGAAGAAGAGGACTGCAGGGTATGATCGTCCTGTAAGAGTCAAGACCCATATGAGAGTTGTTTATACGAACGAGACATGACATGATGGATGCATGCAAAACGTGCTTAGTTATGACTGTCATTCAGCTGATGGACATCCCCGTACTTGGCAGTGGGTACAAGCTCTTTGTGGACAATTTTTATACTGGTCCCTAGCTTTTCATAGACCTCTTGAAAAAGAAAATAGGGTAATGTGGTACCATTCGTCCTAACAGAATCGGTTTCCACAAGACCAAGGTAAACCACATGACAAAGACAGCGGAGAGAGGGACCATACGTTGGATAAGGACTAACAAGACCCCCCACTCAAGGTGAGCGCCACTATCCAACACACATGCCAAAAGACAAAAAGACTGAACTGCAAACATTGCACAAAACACAGGGGGGAAAAAAAGGGTGAAATGCCAGATCTTCTGTCCGAAATGCCAGTTCCCTTTTTGTTTCCTGGCAGAGAGGGACTGCTTCAAAGACATATCACGACATGCACAAGCTACGGTGAAAATGAAATCTAATAATCTACACCTGGTGTGTAAAACGAACACGATGCCATTTTGTAAATAGTTCCGCTTATTTCTATTTTTGCACCTTTTTTAGTGAAGGACACGTGCATAACCAAGTTTGTGTTTGATAAGACATTTGAATATATATTTTTTAATGTATATCTGTTGCTTTTATATTGTTTTTGTAAACAGTTCATTTGTATGTGGGACCAATACATTGGATATGCCTAGGCTAAACGTTCAGGCACTTTGGAGAGGATGAAAAAACACTTTTATATCCCCTGTATGTCCCCCGACACCACCACAATGTTTGAGAGAGGTTGGTGTTGTAGAAATTTAGTTTTTATAGTGAACAATAACTTTTAGGCACATCCAGTGTGCAAAAACAGTGCAATTACCACATTCTGACACTTTGGAGAGGTTTAAAGGACACTTGAATGTACCCTGGATACCCCATAACACCACCACAATGTTTGAGTGAGGTTGATATGGTAGAAATTGTGATTTTATACTAAACAAATAGCATTTAGGGATTACAAATATGTAATAGCACTGGAACTATCTAATTTAGACATCTGCCACTTTGGCGAGTTTTAGGGACACTTGGAAACGTCCCGTGACCACACCTGACACCACTTACTGTTACCGTGGTAACTTGGGCAGTCGCTTGTCTGTGTTGAACAAAATCTCAGACTGCATGTCTTCCTAGCAGAAGACAGTTGCAGAAAACTCAAACTAACACTGGAAAAACAACAGAACAAGAGAACAAAGTATTTTTTAGTTTAGTAGCCATTCTTGTCAATTCGACCAACTTCTACATGTGGCCTTTGTAGAAGAAAAACTGTTCCCAAATGCTCTGTGTGACCACCCACCAATATTTATATTACAGCATATTGGATGACTGTCTTTCATATTCCTATCCATCCAGTTCAATGTAACAGCGATAAGTTTAGGCTACTGCGTGATACTCTAATTTTCCCTATACCCATCATGAGGTTGCTACAACCTAGCCTATGAATGAAAGTTTACTACGTAGGTGCACACAGGTCGAGAGACAGATTTGAGGTGACAGACAGTGACACATGGACAGACAGGGACACATTCAATACCGCCTTGCATACTCTTGCCTGCATCTAGCTGATCTAGGGTGTAATCATTAGTCCAACAGTTGCAAACAAGAGTTTCTGTTGGACAAATTCAGGTGTAAACACAGTTCACTTTCAAGCAGCCACGTTGTATTCCTTCTCGCATCTATGCGCTCTCCTCCTTTCACCTTTTCCCTTCGCTTGTGGACTTCAATGCACAACACATCAGCTGTATGTGACCAGGCGAAAAAACCTTTCCAAGCCAAACCATATCAAACCTGCCTACGTCGTTGTCACCATATTACCTAAAGCAACGTCATAGTCACCATAGCTCTATTAGCTAACGCGTTAGTAAACCCACTACAATCATGCAGTAACTTTACAGTGTACAGTCAGTTAGCAGTTTAGCAGTTACACCGGCGGCCCCCGGTGGCAATAAAATTAGTAAAACCAAAACCTTACCTTGACTTGGAAGAGTTCCAGTGTTGTGTTGGATAGTCATAGCCAGCCAGCTAACATAGCATCCCTCTGTTTGAGCCGGTTGTTTGAGTAACTAAACTAGCTAGCTGCATTTGCTAGCTATGTAAGTGAAACTGAAAGTGAAAAATTAATTATGAAATCTCTCTCTCAATTTCTCTCTTGCTTCTCCTTCATTTTGGAAGAAACTAATTTAAAAACTGTTCAACTACTGTCTTTCTCTCTTTTTGAGTAAACTACTCACCACATTTTATGCACTGCAGTGCTAGCTAGCTGTAGCTTATACTTTCAGTACCAGATTAATTATCTGATCCTTTGATTGGGTGGACAACATCTCAGTTCATGCTGCAAGAGGACGTTGGAGGACGTCCTCTGTAAGTTGTCATAATTATTGTGTAAGTCTATGGAAGGGGGTGAGAACCATGAGCCTCCTAGGTTTTGTATTGAAGTCAATGTACCCAGAGGAGGACGGAAGCTAGCTGTCCTCCGGCTACACCATGGTGCTACCCTACAGAGTGCTGTTGAGGCTACTGTAGACCTTCTCTGCAAAATAGTGTGTTTTAATCAATTATTTGGTGACGTGATTATATTTAGTATAGTTTTATCTAAAAAGGATAACTTCTTTAAGGTTTTACCATTTTTATTTTTATGAAATTCAATGAGGAGGATGGTCCTCCCCTTCCTCCTCTGAGGAGCCTCCACTGGTATACATACTGTATGTTGAAAGGGCCTTTTCTATGATCTGTGGTTTAAAAAAAGAAGAAAAAAGGTCCTGAAAAAATGCTTATCTGTGACATCACAGGGTAGCATTAAAAGTAAGAAAAACAATGATTTTCAAAACCTGGAAGGAGTTTCTAGCCAGAGGAAGGCTATTTTCTTGCTCCCCACATCACCGTTTTTAAAATGTTTTAACTTTTGATGGTGGGGTCATCAGGTGGAACTTTTTAACCTGATATTTTTTTTCTACAAAATTTATGTAGATATGTAGATATTGGTATTGTGCTAGAGATAATGAGGTTGAAACGTGGTGGAGTTGCCCTATTATAAAGACTAAAGGCTGCAGTAATTAAGGGAATCTTATGAAGCCATGTGGCTTGGTTTTCCATATAAATAAAGATTTACATTTGGACCTTTTATTCATTTAGATCCTAACAGACGCTCTTTTCCAGCCCAAAATAGCTAGATGCAAGTGTCTGGGATGTACTATAAAAGGACCTGTCAGTACTATAGAAAGACCTGCCAGTACTATAGAAAGACCTGTCAGGACTATAGAAAGACCTGCCAGTACTATAGAAAGACCTATCAGTACTATAGAAAGACCTGCCAGTACTATAGAAGGACCTGTCAGTACTATAGAAGGACCTGTCAGTACTATAGAAAGACCTGCCAGTACTATAGAAATACCTGTCAGTACTATAGAAAGACCTATCAGTACTATAGAAAGACCTGCCAGTACTATAGAAAGACCTGCCAGTACTATAGAAATACCTGCCAGTACTATAGAAAGACCTGCCAGTACTATAGAAAGACCTATCAGTACTATAGAAAGACCTGCCAGTACTATAGAAAGACATATCAGTACTATAGAAAGACCTGTCAGTACTATAGAAAGACCTGCCAGTACTATAGAAAGACCTGCCAGTACTATAGAAAGACCTGCCAGTACTATAGAAGGACCTGCCAGTACTATCGAAGGGCCTGCTATTACTAAATAAGGACCTGCCAGTTTCCTTACAATGCAGTTTGTCATTAATCAAAAATGACTGTCACAGCCATGTATTTGTCTGTCTTTGGCAATGCTATTGTTTACAGGGGCTGAACAGTTTCTCTAGACCCACAATGTTGCCATTGTTCCGGAATATACAGTACTAGGCCTGGGACTGAATGCCTTCCAAACTGCTATAACAGCACCATCTAGTGGAAGAGGAAGCTCCGGCAGGGGGAAATATCCTTTTCCACCTGTATGACATACTTTTTACAGCCAGGACCCCAAGTCAGTTAACCTAAAGAGGAGTGCTAATATAAACAGATAAAACAGCCTTTCCTTACCTCTAAAATAAGATAGCAAGATGATCAACTACCTTGATGAGCAATCAGGTGTTGTGATGCTGTCCAGCTGCTGTGCTGAAACAAAATCCTGCATATTCCTGGCCTATACAGAGCCAGGGCAAAGATGTTTGAACACTGTAGTAGTGACCCAGTGGCATGAAAATGGGATTGAATGCATCTATAGAAATATTTATAAAAGGAACCAGTAAATACTCTTTGATAGTCCCTACACCCAAACGAGGGCATTGCGTTCATCCACCTCTGGCCTGCTGGCTCCCCTACCTCTGCTGAAGCACAGTTCCCGCTCAGCCCAGCCAAAACTGTTCGCTGCTTTGGCACCCCAATGGTGGAACAAGCTCCCTCACGACGCCAGGACAGCGGAGTCACTCACCACCTTCCGGAGACATTTGAAACCCCACCTCTTTAAGGAACACCTGGGATAGTATAAAGTAATCCTTCTAACCCCCCCCCCCCCCCCCCCCCCAAAATAAATAAATAAATAATAATAATAATAATAATAATAATAATAATAATTGTAAAGTGGTTATCCCACTGGCTATAAGGTGAATGCACCAATTTGTAAGTCACTCTGGATAAGAGTGTCTGCTAAATGACGTAAATGTAAATGTAAATATACATCTTTAAAGAGATTATCTGGTACTTTTGTATATTTCTTAGCCAGTAGTTCTGAAAGTAGCCTTCACGAGCCAAAAGTGGTCCCTGAAGATTGAGTACTACGTCACAAACGTGCAGATATGTGCGCCACGTCATTGCTCTCTCTCTCTCTCACTCTGTGTGAATCTTGCTAGCTGTCACTCAAATTGCGAGGGGCTGAAGCTCATTGGTTAGGACTCTAATTGCTAGGGGGATGGTCCACATGGGGGGAAATCAAATAAAACTTTATTTGCCACATGTGCCGAATACAACAGA